TTTATTTAACAAACATAGAGTTAGCTGCAGTTTTTTACATCCTACTATGAAACATACTTCATTAAGTAATTTTGGAAACACTCACCACATTACGTCTCGTTCACAATTACAACATCCCCTCTGAACGAGATATCTTATGTACTTATAATACGTACTTACATAGTTCTTCTCGTTCATAAGCTCTTACATCTAAAAACTTTTTTTTTAAATCGGTCTTCAATATTCTTTTACATGTTCAATTACATATTTATGTAAACAAAGGCAAATATAAAATTTAAGACAAAATTAGTGCAAAAAGTTGGCTGTTTGTACATATGTATGTATATTAGACTGCATCACCAAAAAAAGTTGCGGTTTTTCCACCGGGATTACAAAATTTATTATATTTTAAGACGTCCACCAAAATATTTCGGAAAAGTATTAAGATTTAAGCGAGCTGGACCGATTTGAAAATACCTCCAAAAATGAAGTTTTTTATGAATAAGAATAGTTTCTTAAAGAACTTTTTGAAAAAAGTCCCCTCAGATCACAAATTAGATTAAGCTTAAAAAATCTGCATAAAAATATTTAAAAATCTTTTCAACGGAATCGTAAGAATGAGATTTTTGATGCTGTTTTTTTACTTTTTTCAAAGATTGGTTTATGAAAAACTTGAATAACTGAGCCAAACATGTTCTGATTTAGACTTATGGGATCTCAGTAGAAAGGTATTTTCACACTGTTTCTGGCCAAAAAAACGTCATTTGTGTCCCATCTAGTTTTTTCGAATACCAACACATCTTAATTCAACTTTGAATGACGTTCGTTCGTCATACCTTTCTCTTCCATCCTTTGATTGAGTTTATTAGCAAAGAAATAAAAAGGGTGGAAAATACCTTTCCAATGACACCTCTTAAGTCTAAATCGGAAGAGTTTAGGTTCAGTTATTCAAGTTTTTTCTATACCAATCTTTGAAAAAAGTTAAAAAACAGCATCAAAAATCTCATCATTACGATTCCGTTCAAAATTTTTTTTTAATATTTTTATGCAAATATTTTAAGCTTAAACCGTTTTATCATTTGAGGGGATTTTTTTCAAAAAAAATCTTTAAGAAACTATTTTTATTCATAAAAAACTCGATTTTTGGAGGTATTTTCAAATCGGTCCAGCTCACTTAAATCTTAATATTTTTTCGAAATATTTTAGTGGACGTCTTAGAATATAATAGATTTTATAATTCCAATGGAAAAATAGTACCGTTTTTTTTTTGTATGGGGAGTGATGCAGTCTAATGTATATATATGTAATAAATCAATTGGATACTTTATGTAAGCCCAAATTTCTTTGAAAAATAATCTAATATGCCTTTATGCAAACTTTTTGTCAAAGCATCTGCGATCGTTTCATCAGAAGATTCGTAAACTAATTTTATTTCACTATTCTTAATTCTTTGATGCAAATACTTATGTTTGATGAGTACGTGTTTCGTTGCATCCGAGTATGAATTGTTGTTCGCCTTATCCTCAGCTCCTTTGTTGTCGCAGTACAAAATGGCAAGTTTTGGAGTTCCTGGAAACATTTCACTCTGTAGACCCTTCAACCAAGTTGCTTCCTTGGAGGCCGCAACCATTGCCACGAATTTGGATTCAGTAGTTGACAAGGTAATACGCTTCTGCAGCTTCGAAGCCCATGATACTGCACCACCCTGAAACAAAAAAACGTACCCTGTTGTGGTTTGAGCTGTGTCCAAATTATCAGCATGGTCAGCATCGCAATAACCTTCGATCTCTGAATGTTCCCTTTTATAAGTTAATTTCTTATCAAGGGTCCCTTTTACATATCGTAGCACGCATTTTACGGCTGCCCAATGCGCTTTGCCTGGGTTAGTCCCAAAACGACTCAACATGTTCACAGCGTACGCTATATCAGGTCTTGTCAATTGTGCAGCGAACAGCAAACTACCAACTGCTTGCATATAAGACTTATGTGACATTTCTTCAATATCAGCTGGTTCCGTTGGGCATTGACTTTTCGTCAAATTTTGGTTCGGATCTAGTGGTGTCGAGATTGGATTGCAATCTAACATGTTAAAACGCTTCAACACATCAAGTAAGTAATGCTTTTGGTCTAGTGAAATAGCACCATGAATTTCATCACGCGTTATTCTAATTCCCAATACTGAGTTGGCATCGCCCAAGTCCTTCATACGAAAATTGTGACACAGATTACATTTTAGCTCTTCTTCCACAACGCTATCGTTGCTTAGCATAAGTACGTCGTCGACATAAATGGCGACAATCAATTTTCGTTTCACTTGGAAGGAAGTACACACACTGATCGATTTCACTACGAACCAAACCCAAATGCAGTAGCGAGTCGTTCAAGCGTTCATTCCAGACTCTACTGGATTGCTTTAGTCCATATTGGGACCGCTTTAATTTACAAACGCGTTTCGTTCCATCATCACATCCCTCTGGCTGTTTCATGTGTAAATATCCTCTTCCAGTTTACCATTCAGGAATGCTGTAACTGCGTCCATTTGTCGTATTCGTAAGGTAAGCTTTGCAGCCATGGCAACAAGTATGCGAATAGAGGTGTATCTCACAACGGGGGCGTAAGTTTCCTTGTAGTCGATTCCTTCAACACACACGTCACCGTCTGCATCGCGTTTCACCTTGAAAACCCGTTTTCCGCTTGGAAGATTGACTAACTCCCACGTTCTGCACTTCTTTAATGCTTCAAGCTCGGTTTTCATTGTTTCTTTCCAATGTTTGGCTTCAGCGCTAGCCATAGCCTCTTTGTACGGCAATGGATCACATTTCTGCTCTTCACTTGTCATAAAGCTATACTTAGGAGGCAAGTGATTAGGTTTATTCCTGCCTTGTTGGCGAATGGAAAAACGAATACGTTCCAACGTAGAAGTGTCTTCATCGGGAGCATAGCAAAAGTCGTGTAAATCATCAGCATAAGCGCCGGAACTGTCTAATGTACTTACATTAGGTAGATTAGCTGACTAGTTTGTAGCCGTTTTGGTTCGTTTGTCGACTGATCGCCAATTTCAACGACAAATTCCTCTCTGGAATTGGCATCTTCAGAATAAATACATACCGACTTTGCGCTCACTTTGCAACACTGCTGATGGCAAGAGATTTTTTATTTCACTAATATTTGTTTCATTGACCTCAACCTTCTTGTCTTCAAAGAATATTACATCTCGACTGATTACGATCTTTTTGGTATTTTTATTGTACAAGCGGTACGCTTTGGATTCGCTGCTATAGCCCATCAACACAGATTCAATCGATTTCTCATCCACCTTGAGCCGCTTTTGTTTTGGTACGTGGACCATTGCTCGACAGCCAAACACTCTTAAGTAGGACAAATCTGGTTTCACGTTTGTCCACCTCTCTTCAGGAGTGTTGTCATTGCCTCTGCATGGAATTCTGTTTAACAGATAGGCTGCTGTGACAGAAGCTACAGCCAAAAATTTCTTACCTAAACCAGCATCTATCACAAGCATCGTATACGTTCAACAATGCTCCGATTGATTCTTTCGGCGACACCACATTGTTCTTGGGTTTACGGGGCGGTTTTCTCATGCTTAATGCAATGACCTGCTAAAAAGTTTTGGAATTCGCGATTTGAGTACTCAGTGCCATTATCACTTCGCAAGACTTTAATTTTCCTCGAACATTGATTCTCCACGAGAGGCTTGAATTTTTTAAATTCATCAAAAACATCTGCTTTCGTAGTAATCGGTACAACGGTAGCATTGCGGCTGAAATCGTCCACGAAAGTAACAAAAAAACGTGCACCAGAATGTGATCTTTCTTCGAATGGGCCACAAACATCTGAATGTATCAAGTCGAGACGTCGTTTGGCTCTTTTACCTGGATCTTAAAATGGCAGCCGGGATTGTTTGCCTTTCATGCAAACAATACATTGTTGCCCCTTAGTCGACATTAGTTTCAGACCTTGCGATGACTTTTGTACCTTAATTAAATTACTGTCGCAGATATGCCCGAGGCGACGATGTCATAACTCATGGTTATCATTCGCAATCATCGCTTTGTGTCTGTTATCTATTTTGTGCACATGTGCACAATTCAGCACATTAACAAGTGACGCTATACCGATCAGCTTAGAATTCGCGTTGTAAATTTCACAACCCGTATTTTCAAAGACGATTTTTTCTCCTTGATTGTCATTTAGCTCACTGATAGAAGGTTCGCACACAACTGGGGAACGCATGTGACATTCGCAATTGTTGCTTTGCCAATATTGAGAAACGTGTCTAGGTCGACAATACACTCCGCTTTAAGACTTGAATTGTTAGCAACAATAACATTCTTCTCTATAACTGAGCGTTTGTTCGAGAAAAGCGAACTCTCCATTGACATGTGTGACGTGGCACCGCTATCGACGTACCAATCTGTCGAATTCACATTACATGCGAGATGCGAAGCAAACAATACATTATCACGACTAGGCTTGTTGTTGATAGTTTCTTTTTCTTCCTTGGGCAGACCTTCGCAAAATGCCCAATTTGCTTACAGAAATGACAGGCAAATTTCTTATTTTTTTCGAACATTGCACTGCCGCTCGAAGTACTGCTCTTTGGATCTAACCTTGATTCTTGCAGCAACGTAGTTTTGACATACTCAATCGTTAGAGTATTTTGAGTATTTACGATGGTCATAACGAAGGTATCAAATTCAGCTGGTAAACCAGCCAACTTCATCATTCAGTGACAAACCTGCACTTCTTACTCGTGATTATAATGAGAGCATTTCAGTGACATACTGCTCCATGCTACCGAAGTCAGAGAGTACGGTGTGCGTGAATTGTTTTAGCAATGCGTCTCTACGGCTAAGACCGGTTTCACTTTTTTCAAGTGCATCCCATGCATCTTTCGCTGTTTCCTTGCCATTAATATATGAAAACACGTGTGAATCAATCAGCAAGATTATCTCGGAAAGACATTTCAAGTCTCCACAGTTTTCTGCTGCTGATGACGTCGCTGTAAGTTCCTCGTATGTGCAAGACCACAAGTCTTTGATGATGAGGTACGATTTAACATTTCTTTTCCACGCGTTGTAATTATCGCGACCGCGCAGCTTCTCAAAAGAAATTGTATGAGAATTCATTATTAACCCAAAAACGATAAATTCACACGTTTTAGCAAGGGTTAATTTGCGACTTAGTCCGATGACACGTTTTTTGCAGGCGAAAAAAATTTACGCGAAATATAAATCAGCAAATACGCAAATATTTTTGCGGTACGAGATCGAAATTGCATTAATTTTGGTTAAATTCGCTTTTAAACTCTCAAAAACGTTAGCCCATAACCTGATGTTATAGGATTTAATATTAAGGTTGAAAAAGAGTGGAACCGAGAAATAAAAGCACGTCTATTCCGAGTTAGTTATCCAAAAGAAGAGAGAGAGACTTTATTTAACAAACATAAAGTTAGCTGCAGTTTTGTACATTCTACTATGAAACATACTTCATTAGGTGACTTTGGAAACACTCACCACATTACGTCTCGTTCCCAATTACAACAGAAATGCTAGGTATAATATTTATCGTAAAATTAATGACAGGCTTAATTAATAGCCCGGCCCTTCTGGCTGAGGTAAGTTTTAATGTTCCCTCTCGAGTGTGAAGACACTTTCGACCTCTATTTTTGAAGCCATGCAAAACTTATTTTGAACTAAACAAATCATTCCGTGGTTTATGTCAAGATTTTAACTCTCATTCCAGCACGTTTAACATATCGGACTAGATTTTTTCTATAAAGAAAACTATCATCTCCACTCTCAATAATTGAAATGCTTACTGCAGAAGAAATTATCAATTGATAAAAAATAACCCANCTGAAGGTATTATATTCGATTTTGGTTTTAAAAACTATATTATAATAAGATCCCATATTTTAAATAAAATATATGTTGAATCGATGTCATGAATTTTATTAGAAAAAAATTGGCGATTTTTGGCGATTTTTTCAGAAATTGCGCTTTTTTTAACAATCTGGACACACTGTTCTACTTCTTCTTCTTCTTCTTCTTCTTTTTTGGCGCTGTAACCGCCTAAGCGATTTTGGCCGAGTTCAGCAAAGCACGCCAGTCGTTTCTCCTCTGTGCCAACTCACGCCAATTGGAAACGCCAAGTAAAGCCAAGTCCTTCTCCATCTGATCTTTCCATCGCAGGGGGGGCCTCCCTCTTCCTCTGCTACCACCAGCGGGTTCCGAGTTGAATACTTTCAGAGCTGGAGCGTTGGTGTTCATTCGAACGACATGACCAAGCCAGCGGAGCCGCTGTATTTTAATTCGCTACACTATGTCCATATCGTTGTATAGCTCATACAGCTCATCGTTCCATCGTTCCATCTGCGGTACTCGCCGTCGTCAACGCGTAAAGGCCCGTAAATCTTCCGCAATATCTTTCTCTCAAATTCTCCAAGAGCCGCATCAGCGGATGTTGTCATTGTCCATGCTTCTGCGCCATATATCAGCACGGGCATGATGAGTGACTTATAGAGCGTGGTTTTCGTACGTCGAGAGAGGACTTTACTCCTGAATTGCCTACTCAGTCCAAAGTAGCACTTGTTGGCAAGAGTGATTCTACGTTGGATTTCAATGCTGACATTATTATCGGTGTTAATGCTGGTTCCCAAGTAAACGAAATTCTCTACTTTCTCGAAATTGTAACTGTCAACAGTGACGTGGGTGCCAAGGCGCGAATGTGCTGACTGTTTGTTTGATGACAGGAGATACTTCGTCTTGTCCTCGTTTACCACCAGACCCATGCGCTTTGCTTCCCTATCCAACTTGGAAAAGGCAGAACAGACTTCGCGGTTTTTGTTACCGATGATGTCGATGTCATCGGCATAAGCCAGCAATTGCACGCTCTTGTAGTAAATTGTTCCTGAGCGGTTCAGTTCTGCAGCTCTTATTATCTTCTCCAACATCAGATTAAAGAAGTCACATGAAAGGGAGTCGCCCTGTCTGAAACCCCGTTTTGTGGCGAACGGCTCGGAGAGGTCTTTTCCAATTCTGACGGAGCTGGTGGTATTGCTCAACGTCATTTTACACAGCCGTATGAGTTTTGAGGGGATGCCAAATTCAGACATAGCGGCGTATAGGCAACTCCTTTTAGTGCTGTCAAAAGCGGCTTTAAAGTCGACAAATAGGTGGTGAGTGTCGATCCTTTTCTCGCGGGTCTTTTCCAAGATTTGGCGTATTGTGAATACCTGGTCTATGGTGGATTTGCCAGGTCTAAAGCCACACTGATAAGGCCCAATCAGTTCATTGACGGTGGGCTTCAGTCTTTCACACAATACGCTCGATAAGACCTTGTAACCTATGCTTAGAAGGCTGATCCCGCGGTAGTTGGCGCGAATGGCGGGGTCACCTTTCTTGTGGATTGGGCAGAGCACACTTAAATTCCAGTCGTCGGGCATGCGTTCATCTGACCATATTCTGCACAAGAGTTGATGCATGCACCTTATCAACTCCTCGCCGCCGTACTTGAATAGCTCAGCTGGCAGGCTGTCAGCTCCAGCGGCTTTGTTGTTTTTCAGCCGCGTTATTGCTATACGTACCTCGTCATAGTCAGGCGGTGGAACGTCGACTCCGTCATCATCGACTGCGGGCTCGGGTTCTTCTTCTCCACAACTTTCCGTGCTGCTACCATTTAGTAGGGCGGAAAAGTGTTCCCTCCATAATTTAAGTACGCTCTGGACATCAGTTACTAGGTCGCCATTATTGTTCTTACAGGAGTGCGCCCCGGTCTTTAAACCTTCCGTAAGTCGCCTAACTCTCTGGTAAAATTTTCGGGCATTCCTCCTGTCGGCCAGCATTTCAAGCTCTTCGCACTCACGTATTTCGGCCTCTCTCTTCTTATTGGGGCAAATACGTCTCGCTTCCCTCTTCAGATCCCTATAGCGGTCCCACATAGCGCGCGGTGCGCCCGATCGCAACGTGGCCCTGTAGGCGATATCTTAACCCACTTGTAGTTAGCTTTTTTGCGGGATTTCTATAAAATATATAAGTTGTAGTTAGCTACAAAACGCTAACAGGAAACTAGTTGACATGTATNTGGGGCAAATACGTCTCGCTTCCCTCTTCAGATCCCTATAGCGGTCCCACATAGCGCGCGGTGCGCCCGATCGCAACGTGGCCCTGTAGGCGATATCTTAACCCACTTGTAGTTAGCTTTTTTGCGGGATTTCTATAAAATATATAAGTTGTAGTTAGCTACAAAACGCTAACAGGGAACTAGTTGACATGTATTGCAGGAGTAATGAAGGAGATTGTTTTCTTTAAACGCGTTTCTATTTAAATATCCTGCACTTCGCAAATACATTTTCGAATTGAGGATAAATGAAAGGAAGATCGAAATTTCATATTATGATTTTTAAGTTATGTCTCACAGATTTCGAATATGAGACCACTTACAGCAGAATATGTAAACAAATATGAAATATAATAAAATAAATTAAGTGAAAAAAAAAAAATAAAGTAAAAATTAAAAAAGATTTTGTTTTTCCTATTGCTATTTTATGTCCAAAAGTAGTTAGTTACAAGTTAGTTACATCAAATGCAGAGGTAACCACCCTTGACTATTTCGCGGCCGTCGCCATAGAAATATAGTTAGCTTTCGTCAAAGAATATATACAGACAATAATTAAATTTAGCTCCTTCCTAATCAACTTAAAGTTAGGTTATAGTTAGATACATTTCCTGCAGGGCTATTTTAGCATATCCAATCAGCTGATGAATTTGATAGTGAATAGTGTTAATTCTCGACACTTAACAAACTCCTGTTTCCACGACTCGGCACCAAACAAAAAAGGTTCCGTACGTCATGCGAACTGCCCCTCGTGTCGGTTGGGCGGGAAAGGAGGGTAAAAACCGTTGGGATTAATTTAACAATTGGGTATTATTAATGGGAATCTCCTGTAGATAAACAGAGTTTTCTGGTAGAAAAATATTGATTTTTAACCATTCTATACCATTTCTACGAAAAGTTCTTTCTTGCCCATATAAAATACATGGAAAACTTTGGACGCTTTGAGCGACCTCTAAATATTTTTTGATTTCAAAATAAAAAAATATGGGTATATTTTTGTTCGGTATCGAACAATCCTAGGGGGTGAGTGCATAAAAATTCAGACTTTACTTTTTCACGTGCATTTTTGGACCACCCTAATGTACATACTATATGTAAATAAATGGCATTATGCTTGCACTATATACATACATACATACATTCGATTGCGATTTTTTGCAATTGAAGCAATTAATTAATAAAGTGTATATATTTTGTGAAAAGGAGGACCAGTATAATTCCGTTTTTTTTACATCAGCATGAAGCGAAAGGCTATATCGACTGATGGGTGGAACATCGGCTTATCTCGACAGGCAGTTCGAAAATGCCCTATCTCAAAAGACTTCAAGAGCGCCCTTCATACATACATATGTATTTACATAGTTCTCCTTTTGTCGTGCAAACATCTTTTTCGTAAAGTTTGCTCGAGGGCTATATCACCCTAAGAGAAATAATTACTGTTAATATCAATGTTCTCAAAAGCGAAGGATTTGGGACACAGTCCCTACATTGGAAGAAGTGAGCTGTAATGTTAAATAGATTGTAGAGCGCTACTTTAACAGGGTTCGGAAATTCTCATTTATGGTTATTAGTTTTCATTCATTTATGAGATTTAATATGATCGATAATATTCCAAATCTATTTTTGCATTCTTTTATCGCGAGTGAAAAATGCAAAGAAATTTATCAACTCTCACATTCGGAATGCGATCGACAAAAAAATTTCCGCTGCTTTTCATTCGCGATCGAAAAAAGCAAAGAAATTTCCTTTCACACGGATATGAAAAGTCCAAGCATTGCCGATTTCGGCCTCTCATAAATGGAAAAAACGATGCAAGTAACCCATTCGCGATCACTCACAACAGCTTATCGCGGAAAATTTTTAACGACGTTGTATGGGAGATATTTTTGG